CCATTTCTTTATAAATACATCAATATGTTTCATTCTAAGAGATAAAAGTGTGCATAAGATGCTTAATCATAATTTCCTTATCATACCTGTTTTAGTTACCTTTTTCCTTCCTGGTATAAAATATTCACAGCCCAAAGTTAAGGGAGGAAAGGTTGATTTGCCTCACACTTTCTAGAGGATTCAGTCTAGTCTGCTGGCTTCAAGGCAGGGTGGGACGGTAGAGGGACATCACAAAGGAGAAGCAGTTCATTGTGGGCAGAAGGCAGCAAGGCAAGCAAGGAGGAAGAGAAGCCTTTTTCTATCCCTTATATTGTATCTAGGCTACTGGGATTGGGACAGTACCAAACCAACCAGTGGACTGAGTTAGTAATCACCCTCCCTTAGTCCTAGCATTGTGTCGGGAATCAGTCATGCAGTCTGGATTCAACCATCTCTGAAAAAGCCCCATCTAGCACTGCGTGAGACTTTGGGGGAGCCATCTAGATATGAGCTGTAACAATACTTGAAACTTCAATTTCATTTCTTAACATTACTGAGTATTGAGTTAATTTTCAACTCACTGTAGTTCACCAAAGTCTTCTTTTCACTTTACGTTAGGTTGGAGAGTGAAAATAATCTTTATGGCTCATTAATACGTTTTGAACAGCTCTTACTATGTAGATGTTCCTTTTTCATCTTTTATTTTCCTTGCAATTTATTCAGTTAAGAAACTGGTTCATTTTCCCCTTGGAATTTCCATCTGCGAGATATAGCTGATCACCTCTGTAGCAACGTTAACATGTTGTGCTGTACTGTCTACTGTTTAGTAAACTGGTAAAAATATCAAGAGAGGGAACTTACAGTTTCTTTTTCCTTCTTTATTTTATTCTTGCCTTCTCTCTGTCCTTCTACATCCTTACTTACTAATCATGTGGGTAGTATTTCTTTTTCCTTAAGGAAACATAGATGATTTTTTATTTTGCTTTTGCTAGCTGTTTTTATACTTCAGTACCTTGATTCACTTGGGCAGTAATGGCATAGAGATTTCAGTGTTGTAGACAGCCCGCTGCGGCATGCAGGGTGCAGGTTTCCTACCACTACTAGGGATTGCAAACTCTATCATGATGATTTTAATTATTAAGTCCATTCATTGTGGGGAGTACTTCCTTAAAGAAAAGCTTTCCCTAATGTCCAGTCTGCTTAGGTAATTATACAGCTTATAAATGAAGAAAATTGGGTATATATTTAATTTTTAGTTTCTGAATTTTTAATGATAGGAATCATAGGGAAAGTCCTGGCGTATTTATATAAAACAAGCCTTGAATATATAGAAGTAGTTAGGAAGCCAAAATTGGAACATTTTTAGTTTCAAAAACTGAAAACAACTAGTTCTTAAGGACCATCAGCAGGTTTTAAAAAAAAAATTATTTATTTGGTACAGCATCTAACTATGCAGTGTAGACTCATAGTGATCCTCCTGTCTCAGCCTCCCCAGTGCTGGGATTACAGGCATGCACCACCATGCCTGGTTTTGGTGGCCAGCTCGGCGCAGGGCCTGCACAGCCTGGGGTACTGAGGATTGAACCGGAGTCCTTGCACTTGCCAGCAAGTGCTTAGATGGCTGAGCTATCTCCCCAGACTGTCAAGCTTATTTTAATGAAGCTTTTTATAAGAATTTAATCCTGTATGCTTTAAGAAACATACCTCCAGGGTTGAGGAGATGGCTCAATAGAATAAGTGCTTTCTTGGGAAGTGCAAGGGCCTGAGTTTAATCCCCAGTTCCGCAAAAAAACAAAAACAAAAACAAAACAACAACAACAACAACAACAAACCCAGAAACATGCCTCCTATAAAGACAGTGGCGTTTTTATTTAGTTAATCCTTTGGAACACAGTGGTGGAATGTGACCTCTGAAACCAGACTCCCTGTTTTCAGATCTTGGTTTTTCACCTTGGGCACATTACTTGATGTCACTGTGCCTCAGTTTTCTCCTCATTCCCATGGGGACAATCCTCAGACTTCCCCCGGAGGGTTGCCGTGAGGCTGGGGTGAGTTTGTACATATCAGAGGCTTGGAGCAGAACCCATCCCGCTGTCAGCTCTCGGTGTGAGTTGTGGCTGTGGTTATTGCTTTTCTTTGTAGAAAAAAAAAAAGGGAAGAGGGAACTTCTTGTGCTTATTTTTATCTTTGTTACAGTTTTACTTTTTGTGTGTATTTCTGACACCTATTTCATGAGCTTTAGCCTTCTTAATGTCTCATTGTGAAACCCTACTGACTTAAAACGTCTAAGCAGTGAATAACTGATAATACCATAAAAGGAGAAAAAAATGAAATGTGTTTCTCTTGCTGGTACCTCTTTTATAGTACCAAATAGTGTTAGCATTTATTTCTATGTATGGCAGTGTTTTCTATTGAGCTGTGAGGCCTTTAAAGCAGGAGACTTACTTTCTGCTTTTGTGTTTAATACACCGTCTCCTACTCTTTTTGAAGCTTAAGCGTCTGATATTTTTGTTCCATTATATATACTAACATCTCATTTTTCAAATTTGCTTGGTAATATACTTTTCAGGATCACAAACAAGTGAATTTTCTAGATACCTGACTACTTGGGTTAGTAGTACATCCTTGTAAACAGGAGGGTGTCATTTTTTTAACTGATTTACATTAATATCATTTCTTCTTCTTCTTTCTTTTTTTTCCAATGCTGGGCATTGAACCCAGGTCCTTGTATTTGCCCAGAAAATGCTATACCACTGAGTTATAAGCTTTTCCTTGGTTTTAAATTTTATTTTAATTAATTAAATTGGTTCTCTTATGTATTTAGTACAGAGTCTCGCTATACAGATCAGACTTGGAGTGATTCTCCTGTTTTCAGCTTCCCAAGCACTGGGATTACAGGCGTGAGCCACCATACCCAGTCTCAGTTATTGTCTTAGTGCTCCAGGAGGCAGGGCTCCACACAGCATGCTAGGGATTGAGCCCTGGTCCCTGTGTCTGCCTAAGCAGGCACTTTAGTCCACTGAGTTATCTGGCCAGCACTTTGGGATTTTAATTTTTCTGATAAACATCAAGCACTTCCCAGTCTTTTAAAAATATATACACATTTGTCATTATGCATATTGTTTGCTTGGGTAATAAAATAGTGTGTACGAGGAGCCTGACGACAATCCTGCTTGTGTTGTTCTCTATTGCATATTCTCAAGTTGCCTTATAATTTTTTTCTTTGTATCTTATGTCTTCTTTTTCTCTTGTTGTTATGACCTACCACTGTCTTTTCTTTCTGCACCAAATATCGCTGGTTTCCTAGCTTCAAGTTTAATGCTTAGGTAAAACCTAGAATAGATTGATTTGATGATCAATATGTTAGAATTTTAAAAAGACTGAAGTTCTATGCCAAGCTTGAGGTTATTTTTTTTTTTAGTAAAATTGGAATGTTCAGCACATAAATTGTACGACACTTACCTATGTGACCTTTAAATATACTTTATGACATTGCTGAGGCTGTCATACATGACTTTAGTGAGTGATGATGCGAATGAAGATTGATACAAAGGAATGAAATGCCTGTCTTTAATGCTTCCATACTGTCAGCTAAACCTAGAGTTTGGGATTTGAATTCAGAACGCCTTCACTCTAAAATCCACTTGTGTTGGTACTAGACTAATGTGAAAAAGAAGTTACCACAGCTTTAAAAAACGTTGGGCCTGGGAGATAGCTCAGCAGCATAAGCGCCTTCCTGGCAAGCACAAGGTCCTGAGTTTGATCCCTAGTACCAAACAAACAAACAAACAAAAAACCAAAACCAAACAAACCAAAAAAACCCAACCAAAACCAAAAAATAAAAATTTTTGGTTTAAAACACAATCTCTTTGCCTTTGGCCTATTATTGACATTTTTCTCTATCCGACCTTTCAAAAATTTATCTCACTTATAGATTCTTTTAATCACACATGGTCAAAATGTATTTTATAACATTATAAATTACACAAGAATAGGTCATATTTAGTAATAGATACTTTAAAAGGAGTCTATTGTTTAACCTGGTTACTATGTTTACTTGAAAGATTTCAGTTGAATATACTTCTCAAATTACATATAGAAAGTAAATGAATATGTGATTTTAGGTACAGGTCATCAAGTGCTAGAAAGTATTAAAAAATACAAAGTAAAGTATCTTTGAGGCATTTGGTATCTGACATGAATTCAAATTCTACTTCTTTTAATCCAACAATGGTTGTTCTATTGCATATTGTTGTCTTCAAAGTAGTTGTCCAGATTACCAGAAATAAACATGCAAAATTGGTAAAAAATATTAAGCATTAATCGCTCCTGTCAGCAAATCAACAGAAATTAATAATACAATTATCTTAGCCATCTTGAGTGTGTGTGTATTTTTCCTTTTTTCTTTCTTCTTCTTTTCCTCATTGAAGTTCTTCTTTAAGTTTTAGGATTTTGGCTTGTTCAGTCCTTCTCAGAGTAATTGGAAAGAGCTGGACATGGTGGTAAATGCGTGGAGTCCTAGTACTTGGGAAGCTGAGGTGAGAGGATTGAAAGTTGTAGATCAGCCAGACGTACCCAGTGAGATCCTGTTTCAAACAAAACAAGTTTTTATTTATTTTTATAGTTTTATTTTTAAATGTACTTGGTACAGGGTCTCACTACAGAGCTCAGACTCATAGCCATCCTCCTGTTTCAGCCTCCCCAGCTCTGGGATTACAGGCATGTGCCATCATGTCCAGTTTCTGTGGCCAGCTTGGAATGCTGGGGCAGGGCTGGTGCAGCATGTGGTATGGGGGATTGAACCCTGGTCCTTGTGCTTGCCGGGCAGTTGCTTACACCGCTGAGCTGTTCCCCAACCCAAAACAAGTTTTTAAAAGGATTAAATCAGCACTGTTTTTCTCTACTTAGAATTTCAAATCTGGATAAAAGTATAAATGAAAGGAAAAGAAATACTTATTACACAAAAGGAATTGTTGGCTGTAAATGAATGTCTCACCTTTGTCATTTATTTTTACCTGCAGGCCACCTGTAATATATTCCTTATTGGGCTGAAGTGGAGGCTTATGAAGTGGAGCTCCTCTTCACTTTCGAGGTGAGCCTATTTGTAGTATATTTAAAGCAGTCTGCTGCTTCTTGGGAAACTTTGTCATTCCCTTGTGCTTGGGGAAATATTACAATTACTCACAAAATGCTGTCCGTATGGAGTGCGGGGCTAAGAGCTGGATCTCCCTGTCCATACCTGTGCCTGTGGCAGATGTCCTTTGGGTGTCCTGGCCCTGGCTCTTCCATATCTCAGTGTCACTGTGTCTATTTTTAAAATAGGAGTGATAAGGCAGTTCCTCTAAGCTTGCCTGCCAGGTTACATGTGGTGAGAGCAAACTGTGATAGTGGCTAAGAAAATGTTTCATTTAGGAAAATGTAGGGTAGAGGAATTAATATTGTGAACTGTTGCCATGAATTAAATGGAAATTACCAGTTATATGTACAGAATCTTTTTTTTTTTTAAATGTATTTTGTATGGGGTCTTACTAAATAGCTCAGACTCCTAGTGATCCTCCTGTTTTCAGCCTTCCCAGAGCTGGGATTACAGGCATGCTGCACCATGCTTGGACTTGTTCACAGGCTCAGCGTGCCCCAGGGCTAGGGCTGGCATGGCATGCGGGACTGGGGATCAAACCCAGGTCCCTGTGCTTGCCTAAGCAGGTGTTTAGTCCACTGAGCTATCTTGCTGGCCCTCGATAATCTTTTTTTTTTTTTTTTTTAACATTTATTTATTGTG